TGTACAAATAATATATAAATGAAAAGTGTTTTAAGTGTAGTTTAATTTATAAATTTATTAAAATACTTTTAATTAAACTTAATAAAGTGTATTTTAATAAATTCACGAGTAAAATTGTATCGTTATGATGACAAACCCAAAATATTTGTTATAGTTTTCGTCGATTTCTTGAAAACCAAAAAAATTTTGCTCTTGTTTCTTTCAATTCTTGATCTCCTACTTGTAAACTTTCGGGCTCTTGTCGGAGGACTTATCGGAGGTTTCTAGCCACCGTCAAGGAATCTAATGCGCCAGAATCGGGATCACGGAGCACTTGTTGAACCCTGGCTTGTACGGCTTGATCTTAAGGTTTTTACTATAGGATCTGGTCTCAATTAAGGGTTCCAGGAGAACCATATCAGAGAAGTTCGTCGGAGGGAAGGAGTCTGTAATCGAATTAGATGTGAGCTTACCTGTTGGAGTTCTGAAGGGGATGGCGTTCCTTGGCCTCAAATCAGTGGATTTCATAGTGGAAAAGGTAATCCCTCTTCCTAAAATTCTTCAGATTATTTGTGAAATCTTAACTTGGTGTATGAATCTATTGATTTCAGAATGGTAGCCATATGCTCTAAGGAACCTATCTTGAATGGTGCAGCATATTGGGTTATCCTTGACTCTAAATTGAATAACAGTTTAGGTACTACTGATGGTATAGAGAGCTATAATAATCTAATTTTTGGAATTAGGACAAAATGAGGTTTCTGTTTAGTAATGTTACTTTACTTGTTTGTGGGCTTCATTTGTTCATGAGGAATATTACGTGCCTTCATAATCAATCCATTTATATGACTCTGCTTGCATCTGGTGAAATGAATGTGTTTTTTTGGCGTTATGTATGAATGTGTCATTTGGCGTTATGTGTTCGTTGGAGCATATTTAGGGTTAAGAGGAGGTCTTTTTGAGGAAGCCAATCTGTTGAAGGTGTTTATTGCAGTGTTTTGAAACTTGGACCGGACCAGCTGGTTGAACCGGTTGAACCGCCATCTGGTCATGAAAACGGACCGGATGCATATCCAGAACCATATAGGCGATCCAACCACCCAAACCCGCTAGACCCGGTAAAACCATCCAACCCAGAAAACCCAGTAAACCCGGCAGGCCAAACTCAAATATGCCGTTTTCAATTTTTTCAATCATTTTTTAATTCAACAATTATTTTATACTTTTTTTTTGTTTGATACCCATTTTGCCCTCCTCTACACATTACAATTCCATGGTAAAATACTTTAAAAAAAAACATAATTTGAATGCAAATTGGTAAAATCACTAAATCAAATTAGGAACCCTAAGCCTTCTTCTTCAGTTCTTCTTCGACTCGTCACTGTTCCTCCCCAATCTCCAGTCTGCAGTTCTCCTTCTCCAGTTCTCTAAACTCTAATCCATTGATTCTCCAGATTCCAAACAAATTGCAAAGAAGAAACCCAAAACAACGATTCCTTATCTCTTCCGTCCAAATTCGAAATCACACTTCTTCTGTTCTTCATCAGATCTTCATCTTGTCACCATCGCCAAGGTCGTTCTCTTTCTCGATCGGTCGATCCTCATACTTCTTTTGTTCTTCATCAGATTTTCATCTTCTCGCTGAGGTCGTTCTCTCTCTGGATCCTCTTTGACCTGAAAATCTTTCTTCTTCGGTTCTCTTCAGGTACAAAATCACTTTCAACTTGCTGCCTTGCTTTATTTTAAAACGAGAAAAGGCATTAAATGGAAGGGTTTTGGGGTTTATAATAGAAGGGTGTGGGAAATTTGAAGGGTCAAAAGGGTAGAAAGAGAGAAGATTGGAGTAGGGGTTTGTTCGGTCATTTGATGCTAAGATTCTATGAAGAGCATAAAAAAAAGTACCGGGAATTTAATAGAAAGTATGAGACACTACCAATGGCGGCAAGGCAGGGGCAGAGAGCAGAAGGGAAAAGATGGTATCAAGGAGAAAGACAAATGGGAAGTGAAAGAGAAGGGAAAGAATGCTGTTTGTGAAGCTTTTGCATAGTGAAAAAGAGGGAAAAGTTTTTAAGGTCAGTTCAAGTTGGCCCCTATACGGTTATAACTTCTTTAGTTTTACCCCTATCATTTTAGTATTTTTATATTTGTCCTACCTTCACATTATAATGGAAACGATATCTTTAGAAGTTACAAAACCATATAAAATTATAAGATTATTTCAATAATATAATATTAAATACGTGGATATAACATTAGGTGAAATTATGATCAGTGCATGGAGCTTTTCAGAAGGAAACAAATCAAATGGTGGTAATGCTCATATGAATGCCTTGAACCATGATCACAAGGTGGAGCTAAATTTGACAAAATTAGACTCAATTCAAAGAACCAATCTAACCCACTTGCTATGAGTATATTTTTTTGGACTTATTTTTCATATATATATGTGAGACTTATTAATTTTGAGATTTATAGTTGTATGATACTTTTTTTTTATGTATTTATTGAGTTTTTGGACTTGTTTTTATGTGTTTATTGAGTTTTTGGACTAATGGTTGCTACAAATTGTAAGGAAAAGAAAGAGAAAACTGCAGCAGAATGATGCCAGGAAACAATGCACTTTGGTTTTTGCATTTTGCCTTTGACCCGGCTGGTCGACCAATTGAATCGGTCGAACTGGTCAAACCAAGAACCAGTGAGCAAACTGATTTTATGCCTGGTTCAGGTTTTAATACCTTGGTTTATTGTTTCTGAGGACATTGTAGTGGTTGGAGGCTAAAACCAACTTTAGCCCCTTACCTTATAAAATCGGTAAGTTTTAGCCCCTAACCTTATAATATGACACTTTTAACCTTTTATCTTACAAAGTTGGTAGGTTTTAACCCCTCACCTTACAATATTGGTAGGTTTTAGCCCCTCACCTTATATTATGACATTTTTAACCATTTATTTGTACGAATTGAAGAAAATAGTCCTTATTTAACATCAAATTATAATGTTCTATTAGTTCTGTTAGTTCTGTTAGCTAACTGTTACTCTTATTAGCTGACTGTTAGTTTTGTTAGTTAACTATTAGCGTCCGTTAGCATTTCGTTAATAGAACTAACAAATAAAATTGAATTTAAATTTCATGTTTTTTATAATGGAATGCTAACGCATGTTAACCGTCAACTAACAGAATTAACAAAACGTTATAACCTGATATTAGATGAGGGTTATTTTCTTTAATTCGTATCAATAAGGGACTAAAAGTATTATAATATAAGATAAAGGGTTAAAACCTACCAACTTTGTAAGGTGATAGGCTAAAACTTACCAATTTTGTAAGATCAAGGGTTAAAACTGTTATATTATAAGGTGAGGGGTTAAAACCTATCAATTTTGTAAGGTGAGGGGCTACATGTTGGTTTTTGCCGATGGTTGGAAGGGTTGTGCATGAATGAAGAGGTTAGTGGCCCCCAAAGGCCCCAAAGGCCACTGGGGTATCATGACTCTTATTAGGTATGGTAGTCTTAGGTTGGGTTTGCCCTTGGCTTCAGGCTGCTCAAACCCTAAATGTCTTAGTTCTATTATATGGCTTTTGTCTTAATTTGTCTTGGGTTAGTTCTGTGATGTTTGTCATTGGATTTGCTGTTAGCATGTGTTGGGAGTTTGTAAGGTTCTATGTGAAGGTAGTAAGGCTTGTGTTGGCTTTATAGAGAATGTTAGTAGAAGGTGTTGGAGGTCTAGTACTGTCTTCTGCACAATTTTTCAAGTCTCAGCATTACCAAAGGTTGGATTCCAGGGATTCCAGACTTCCCTTCAGTCCTTGATCATGAGGTTTGCCACCACTTTTCTACTCAGGTCTTTGAAGAAGATGCTTCATTTCCAGCCCTATATGGGAACCGCCACCGGTGGATTTAGGACCTGTTGTCAACTAGATTACTCCCTTCCCCTTGCTTCCACCCAAGCTCGGCTAACTCTAAGGCAATCTGCTATGTTTATGTTTCATTTTTTTTTGTTTTTTGGGTTATGAGCTCAGGTTTAAACTTGTATTTTTCTTTTAGTGCTCATCGTTTCTGTGGTTTGTAAACAACTTAATTTCTGTTTAATGCAATTTTAATGTTGTTACGGCCACAAAAAGGGAAAAAAAAGAAAGAAAGAAGAAAACTTAATTATATATATTCAATTAATTTAAAAATTGACATTTAAGTTCGAGGATAAGGTTTTTTAAAATTAGGACTCTAGGTTATAATGTTTTGCAAAATTGATATGTATTATTCTTTTATTTATATGGTTACTTTATCTAAATATGTGAGTCAACACTTCAAGAAAAGATATGCTCATATAAGACATTCTATGAAAATTACTCTTAATCCCAAAAGGCTCTATAAATATAATTTTTTTAATATATTTAATGATAATGGACTATATAGAAAAGATATAACTTATTTTCTTAATTTTTTTCTCATTTGATTTAAGATTTAAATTTGAAATAATTAAACTGAAATTTCAAGATCTTAATTAATTGGGAACCCTTGAAATAAAAAATTATAAGTAATTAGCATTAAACTAAATTAAATTCACACCCAGCGGGAATAAACTTCACCTCTAACCTAAATTTTATTGTCATTTTTTTTTCCTTTTTAAAAATGAGGAATCTTTCCATGCCTGAACTCCACTTTCTATTCTTACATTTAAAAGTACTTGCGATTGTGAAGCTCTATGATTCATTGTGTCTGGTCTGTATCTCACCACAGCTAACCCGGGACTCTTTCGGTGCTGTTTAATATATAGGGAGCGGCTATCAATGAGGGGTTGGATCAAGTGGTAAATGGTTTGTTCCAACTTAAGCAAGATCTCGAGTTCGAGATCTTATGTACGCAGCAGCTCCCGTTGGGAGACTCACCCACCATTTTCAGGTGTACGACGCAGGTCGAGTCCGAATTAGTCTGGGCGAAGCCTCAGACACCGAGCGGGAAACCAAAAAAAAAAATATAGGGAGCGGTTGCAACTTCGAGTCTTGGTTCATTTTTATTCTGCGCAGGCACGGTTTTTTTTTTTTAAAAAAAAAATAAGAACAGAGAAAGCCTCTGTTTCACTGGGTTAATCTTCGAGAAAATTATGCCTAAAATTATGGTTGACCCCGGCTTTACGTAAGCTAAGCAATGTCTTAATCTAATCACTCAAAATTAGACTTTTGAGAGAGGAGACAGCCCCCCCGCCCCTCCCTCAAAATCTCATACAGCTGGTTAACACTAATAAGGTGCAAATCCGGCAGATTATGCGATCTAACGATTCTTCAATTGATGTGACCCGGATGATAATTTTAGGAAAATCTTGTTGAAATGATAGCATATAAGAAATTTGTGGAAAGTTGTCCATTAGTGAAGACAATGAAAGGTAATTGTGGAAATGAAAAATGAAATTCTCTTCAATCTAATTAGGCATTGTATAATACATGTGGTGGGAGGTGCATGCATGCTGCAAAGGCTTTGCACCAGAATACAGAGAATAATGGATACTATGATTTTACAGTGGATAGAGTTGTAAGAAAAACTCCTCAAAAGAATTAGAAGACAAAAAATCAAGAAAAGATGACAAAAAAGGGGGAATTGATTAATGATCCCTAGGATTAAAGATTAAATCCTAAATGATAATAAAGTAGCTTAGTGGGAGTACATATGCAACTTGGTTCATGTGTATTTACAGCAGCCGTTGTGTCTGTCCTTTTTGACCTTTAATCCAGGACCAAAAAGAATGGGGATTAGAGCTCAACTTTCATGTGGGATACTTGAGTTGATCCTGCGTTAAAAGAATGGTTATGAGAGCTTAACTTTAATAGTCGCTAATCACAGTCTGCTGCAAAATGGGGGTTTTTAACTTTTAGGGTCATTTTTTGTCCTTAATTCTCACCATAGAAATTGTGTGGTTGCAATGGTGATTCCAGGTTTGGATTCTGGCCAAACCCCATTTGAACAATGGTTTGCAGGTCACCTTCACAGAATGTTGAGCACTGCAAACACAAATTTCCAGGAAAATTAGTTGTAAGGATCTAAGGATACTGGGAAAGGTAGAATTCAGGGGAGAGGGAGAGAGTTACCTGCGGAGGAGGAAGAGTTTCAGTAAATTGGTCAAGAGAAGGTAATTGCATATTAAGGCTACGGCATAGTACAGTGTCTAAAGGGTCCACAGGGCACTGGATCATTGTTCCATTAGAAATGTTGTTATGCATTGCTGGATTTTGCTCGGACTGTTGGCCGGAGAAGGCTGATGCCGAGGAATCTAAGGGGAATATTGGATGTGGCGTTGAGTTGTTTGGTTGAAATATCTGCAAAAAAACCAAAAGAATTCCCCAATTGAAAAATGCTCTATATATGGGAAAGGAGAAGTTGTTGCCATTAGGAATTATAAAACTACTCACATCTTTTGACATTAGAGAATCAATGTTAAAATCCAGCCTGGTGTTCACAGAAGCCAACTTCATAGAAAGAAACTGCCATTTAAGAAAATGCACATCCACGATCCACCATTAGACAAAGATGACTTAATTTACTTCTATCCTAAGAAAATACTAATCTCTGACACTTTGATCGAGAAATATTTAATTTACCTCAACTTGACTCTGCAATGATTGAACATAGTTTATAATTTCATCAAGCATTAGGGCTTTTCCGGTCACCTGCAATTTGAAATTTCAAGTTGCATTAGCAAGCAAAAAGGAATTTACTCCACTAGACATTTTTTTAGTACCAGACACGGAAAATATCACAGACCTTATTGCATCCCGGGACGAGATCTTGGAGAAGCTTCATTCTCTCACTGATTTTCTCTCTTCGAACCTGATCGATTGACGAATGTTAACATACAGTCAATTTTTAGTGCAAATCTGTAAAGGAATGCTTGAATTTTTTAATCGAGTTATGATTTCTCACTCTTTCAGCTAGACTATGGCTATCCGTGGCTTGACCCCTTCTTGCTCTAACATGAATGTAGTCCTTTGGAGGCCCAGGAGGCTTTGTATTATTAGCCTTTTTCTGTTTCTCATCCCCTGCATTTCCATTGCTTACTTTTGGTTCCTCCTCTGATTTAACAGCACCATTTTCGCTCCCGTTACCCTCAGATTGCTTGCATCTCTTGGAATTCGAATCTTCATTAGTTTCAGATACCTAAATGGGATTATAATTTGATAAGAATACAACACTGATTCTCTACAGAAGCAGAAATATAAAGTTGGGACAGTTTTGACTGTTACCTTTGTATTTGTATTTGGTGGTGGGGACATTGAAGTATCCCTTCCTTTCCCTTTAGAAGCTGCCTTTCTTTTCCTTGAATTCGAATCATTTGCAGCTTTCAGACTGGATTCTCCGTTAGGGTTTTGCTCAGAAACTGTGGATTCCTCGTGGGAATTGGCTGCTTCGGATGGGGAATTTTTGTTTCCCTGAACTCCACTGCCTTGTGCCCCCATTACCTTGAAAGAAGGACTGCTTGAAACGCGCAACAGCTTGTCATTTTCCATTACCGGAGTAGAACTATAGGGAGTTTCGTTGTCGTTCAGCTCGATTTGACTCGTCCTGTTGTTGAAACTGCGGCTGCCGAAGCTGGAGAACCTCGCCGCCCTATCTGCGAATCCGGGGTTGGCGGATAAATTTTCCACAATGGAATTCATGGGCATTGATTTTCCCAAACTGCGTATCTTCTCTTTAGCCAAATTGTCCTCCACTGGCAAGCTCAGCTTCGGAGGGGAATTCAGAGGAGTGCTATAACAGGAAGTGTTGGTGCTGTTATTGCCATTGATGTAAGAAGCCAACAACGGCTGAGAATGTGGCAAGATTTGACTGGACTTGCTAATATTCCCCAATTTCCCAATCAACTCCCTGATCACGAAGCTCTCATTGGACATATTTGAATTTGACGCTGCTGGTGAAGACACGTCCGAACTCAAAGTCGACTCAAACTGGACACCAAAATCCGTCGACTTTTCCCAATTGGAATTAAAGAAGCAGTCCACGGACTGATCACGGGAACAATTCATCTCCATTGCTTGATTGGTCATTCCCACCCCGGACGGCCAAGTGGTCATTCCCACCAATGACGACGGCTCACAGTGAAACACCGGCGTCGGGATTTCTGCATCAAGGAATAACTCATTCTCCATAATGAATGCGTAATACTAAGATAAAATATAGGAATCAATAAAGAACGCAACTTTGGATTCTTAAATTGCTTTGAGGTGAAACGAACAGAAATGATAGTAAAGTAGATTTAATGAATTGTGGCTTCAAAATGATTGCATTTTGTACAAAATGAAAAGGGATTAGTGGGTATAGGAAAAAGAAGGGAAGATACTTCGATGAAGAAAAGCCAAGCAAAAGGCCAAGGGAGAGAAAGGGGGGAAGGCTATGGCTTGGGGTGTGACGGAGTTATATAGATGTAAAAGTAAAAGGAAAAGAAAGGTATGCTTTGACCTTTTTGTTTTTATTTTTTGTTTTCCGGTTAATGGTGCAGTACAGTTATGTAGTAGGAATTGTTTCTTCCTTGTTTGGCTATTTCTCCCCCGTGAAAGGCGGAGGAACGGAGTTGCCGGGCCTTGGACGTCAAAGCACTAAAATGTCCTTTCCCGCTCTTCAAATGCACAAGTTTGCCTTTTAGGCCTTTAGCCGTGTATGCCCGGGAACTGTTCCTGATGTATTTTTCCTTTTGTGTAGAGTCGGTTCAGTCAAAATCAAGTTATTTATACTGAAACTGATATTCTCACAATTTTTTCTAAAAAATTGAATGCTAAAAGTCGACTAATCAAATCGTAACGTATTGGGTTCCCAATCCATGCTTTTTACGTACAAGATTCAAAGGTCGTTTTATTATTGGAGACCGAATAAAATTTTAAAGACTTCATTTGTTCGAATTTTATTTGCTATTGAAGGGGTTTGAAGTTGAAATTGTGTAAGGCGGGTCGTGATCCAAGGTTGCAGGATCGAGTATATGTGATGACTTGAAAAGTTATTCTAGGGAAGACACCCGACATGTCTAAATCAATAATAATCTCTAAATTCTAGGGAGAAAACTAGAAAGTAAAGAGAGAAGAGTAATTACTTTTAATATGGGTAGTTAAGAGTATTTATTATTTTATGTAAAATACTTATGTCATGTAGAAATCTTTGGCTAGTCCACTTGTCAATTAATGGGTGGTTTTTCCCCAAAAACTATTTTATGCATGGGCCTAGCGTTGGGCTCTAGGCTTGTAATAAGTAGTTGGGCTACTATCCCTACAAAAGGAATTTCAGTTCGGCTTGCCCTTGGTGTCGGAGAAAATGTTTGGATAATGATATAAATTTTATTATATTTTATTTAATAATACAAATTTTTTGAGTTTTTAAATCAAGTAGTAAATTTTTTTTATAAGGATATGAATTTTTTTTTTTAATTAAGATTGTCATTTGTCAAGTCATCACCATCACCATTTAATAAATCTTTAAATAAAAAAATAAAAAAATTTTATCCTTATTAAAATAAAAGTTAACATTGATTTGTATACTTGAAATGTTTATATTTATAAATAGAAAAAATGACAAAATTCATATTCATATATGTAGCTTTTCTCCTTGGTATTGACACATTTAGAAAAAATGAATAGTGATGTTAGCATTTCAAGTCAACCAAGCTTGAAACCAGAATTGAACGGTGGAATAACATTGTCATCGTATATCACATGTACATAACTAGCAAGTCCAAAAACCTTTGCATCTCTTTTCTAATTTATGCTTTATTGTATTGCCAAAGTTCCATCCCTATACTGCTACTATCTAACAATATTTTGCATATGATTTCGATATTAAAGTTTCCAAGAACAACCAAAAAACCCTAGCTGCTCCCTTCCTTCTCTTGACCTGATTTTCTCTTCTTTCTCTTATTTTCTTCTTCCCCTAGCCACAGTTGCCTCTCTACCCCTAAGCGATTAATGTGAATGGCTAAGGTGGGAGTTCTCTTCTCTTTTGTGAGGGTTTTTCTCTCTCCATTGGAAGTTTTTCCCTTATTTTTAGGATTTTTGTCTTGCCTTTCTTGATTTTTTTTTTTTTTTTTATCAATATTTACTTCTGTTAGAGGAAGATGGCAACTTAAATGCAATATTGATTGGACTTAGGTTAGATGTCATGCTTATTGTAGTTATTAAAGTCATGGTTGGAGATGGGATCCCTAGTTAAATTTATTAGCCCTAACCTATTTATCTTATGTTTAGATATAATATATTAAAATGTAACTTAATTGTTAAATCTTTAGTTCATATTTGATTGTGATATTCATGTAGCTATTGGATTATTATTATTGCTGTTGTTGTTGTTATTGTTGTTATTTACTGATTGATTGAAGCTATTAGCTAGATTATTTAATTTTACATTTTCGAGCATTTTATAAGGGTTAACACCTCATAATAGAGTTCTAACACCTGAAAATATTTGGTAAATAGATTTTGTTTTTTTTAAAGAAGGTGTGTAAATAGAACTTTTAGTGTTGGGGTTTTGGGCCTTCAAGCAATTTTGTTTCTTTATAGGTAAAACTATTATGGTCCCTCATTTTTTACCAAGTTGACACTTCAATTCATAAAATTCTTATATCTTCAATTTGGTCTTAAAAGTTTCAATTTCTATTAGTTAAGTCTTTTTTTACACACATAATAAAAATTATATAAAATTAAGTAAAATCTCATAAAAATCATTGAAATATCAATAATATCAAGGCAAAAAATTCCCATTAATATATATAAAAATTTAGCTCACCAATACCCCTACAATTAAAGTATGAAAAAAAGGGAAGCATCCCTTAAACAAACATCCAGACCATGGCTCAACTAGAAGAGAAACAACTTCCTTTCAATTCCCAAAGCATTTCCCTTCACAAGACACCATCAAACTTGAGAATCATCAAACAAAAATATAACCATAGAACATATTTTTGTTTTTTGTTTTTTTTTTTCTAAAACATAAATTGAATTGAAAGGAGAAAGGATAATTGCAAGATAGATAATTTTCCAAACATGGTTACAACAAGAGAATGACTTGCCTCTACTTCCAAGTTAGGAAAGACATACTGTTGATGGATGATGGATGTTTTTGTAAAAGGTCAAACTTGGACTTGGGTAGTTTCCATGTCACCAAGACTCGCCTTGATCTAAGTGCCTATAAATGCCTTCAATGTGCATTTATCAAAAAGCCCAGCAACATCTGATGCTGTAATACATGGCTAGGCCCAACAGTATCTAATGCTGTAGTACATGGCTACACTGTTGGAAATACATAAGGAAGTCTCTTTCCTTTCTTATTTCCTTATTTATTAAATTTTATCATTTTCATCAACTGATCACTATTCCTTTATGTAGGTCATCAATAAACCCATGAATGCAAGCTCATGGGTATATTCAGGATAAACTATGGAGTAGTGGTTTGGCAGGCATGGATGGGTGAACGTTGCTTGTCTGGTGAAGTGAGGTATTCGCTCCAACAAAGCTTGGCACTAGCAATGTTCCTTGACTTCACCAGAAAAGGTTGGGTGGCGAAGACGTGGAGGCAGACTTGATCCCCAAAATAGTACTGTCTGATGCTAACTAAAAGCTTAAAATCTCGTTCAACACCAACCAGAGATGCTATCTTAGTCACCATCATCAACTTGCAGTTGTATTCAATACAAAGGTTGGCTGCACAAGTTATAGTGCATGGGAAATTGTTGAAAAAGATCACAATTTGCTTAGGGAATCTTCCAAAATCCTGGGCAGTCCCTAGGAATCTACCAAAATCTTGGCCAGATTTGATTTTATCGATTGCACTCAAATACGTCCCCAAAAATGGAATTTCATATGGTTGGAAGAATTACTAGAAATAGGCAGTTCCTAGTTTCTTTCCAAAACCAGCGAAACTTCACGAGAACTACTGGGTAATTCATAATATCACTGCCAAAAAGCTATTAGCAATGCCCAGGGCCACTCAAAACTCGAGAGCTCATCCAAATCTACTCATTAGGCCACTATACAACTCTGGTCGATCAACAAGAAATTACAAAAATGCCACTACACATATATATTATTTTCCCTTCATTTTTCAACAGATTTCAACAGTTTTCACAGCTCCAACTTTCTTCCTTACGTACCAAACTCCCATTTTTCCTTTGAAAAATCCTTCGTTTTCAACATCTCCCCAAATACATCAAAAAATACCTAGAAACCACCATTTTTGTTATATTTTTTGCACTTCCAGCATTGTTGAACAATTTCCAGACTTGCTAAACATCATGGCTGGGAGACAACATATTGCAGATTCATTTTTTGGGTTATCTTTATGAGCATCAAAGGTTTAAACTAAAGAGTTAGCATCAAAAACAGAATCAAGCCCTCCACTCACAAGCTCCCCACTCACAAGCCCCCAAAACAGTCATCCTTCCTTCTCTCATCACTACTTTCAAGTTTATTCCTTTTGCCTTGTTAAAACTTGAAAAAGACTATTGTGCTTTTTATCTACAATGTGAGGGTTTCTTATTATAGAGTAGGAGGATTTATCAAGGATAATAAAGGGCACATTCATTGTTTTTGCTATTGTGCTACAATACATTACATAAACATGTGCTTCTCAAGTTGTAATTTTGAACCTTTATATATTTTCTATCCTTGCTGCTTCTACAACAATGTACATTTCATTTTCATTATTTTTGGTAGTTGTGTAATCATTCTCATTATCTTGGGAACGCCATCGTCACCCCACTCTTTTTGACTTGGTTGGGCACGCTCTATTCCCAAACTTCACCAAAGAAGCTTTATTTTTGAACTTCGTTGGAGAAACTTTATTTCCAAATTTCGCTAGAGAAACTCTACTCCTAGTCTTCGCCGAAGAAACTCTACTCCCAGTCTTTGTTGGAGAAACTCTACTTCTAGACTTTGTTGGGGAATTTGCTACTGACCAACATCGTTGGACATCTTGGAACTCTGTCATTGCTACCAGCTATCCCTCTTGGCTTGGCTAGAAAACTTACACCTTCAGACTTTGTTAGGGAATTTGCTGTTGACCAACATCATTGGGCGGAATGAGATGGCCCGTGCCACGTAGCCCTTCGCACACAAAACAAGTGCCACCAAAAGGGCCTTCCTCATTTTTCACGGGTGGCATCCTAGTTAGCCTCTATATCATCTCCACTATTGACTCATCATCCTACATCACCAGTACACCCTAACACACACATACTTTGAGGAATTACTTCCCCTCTTTTACTTAGTCAATTACCAAAGGTAATTCTCCTCATCACTGGCCACCAATAGGTATTAGTTACCCAAGTAATCATGTACATGCTAAAATTGGAAAAAAACAACAACCCAAGATGGATAATTGTGAGATAGAAAGATATACATCTTGCTGC